GTAGGAAAACCACACTAAGTAAAACAATGACAACACCAACGGACATCCATCCACACATACAGAGTCACGGCTCATGAACCCGACCCAGAAACTGCAAAGGAACACCTAACTAGGTCCGACACCAACGGACCCAACACAAATCCAGACATACAACCCCAACCGAACCTAGAGACCCATACCACCAAACCAGCCAGATCGACATCAATGACCAAGGCCCAGACCTCTAAAACCCAAACCTTGGCCCACCACGCTAGGGTTGTTCCTTCCTCCCAACACCAGGAGAAAAAAGAAAACACAATGGAAAGGAGCAGAACCCTCGACCTCGATCCCCACAAAGGGAAAAATCGGAGCCGCAACCCACTCCCAAAGAAATGCCAGAGGCCTGCCGCTGCGGAGACACCGGGAAATTGGTCGCCCACCGACCCGTCATAGCGGTCAGAACCACAACGAGACCTACTCTGGGGTCGAGCGCCTTCTCCCTGGCGAAGAACAACTCCTCCAAGCAGCAATTTTGAAGGAAACAAGTCACGTGGCCCAGGGGCACCATCACCAAAAAGCTAGGAAACCCCTACTAGGGAAGCCGCCGGAAACAAAACGAGATGGGCTAAGAGGAAATTGTGGGTTTTGGGATGAAGAGAGATAAAAACGAGTGAGATGTATATCTAGATGTTTAAAAAATGCATATTAAGTTCATAACTTCATATTAATGCATACTTAGTTCAGAACACAACGACAGTAGCTACAATTAGTAAGACTCCAGGATTTTGCTATATTTTGACTGTACATTTAGTTAATACAAAATGTAGTTATAATTCATACATAGTGCATATTTAGTTCATGTGAGATCCAATCATACTTATATATTGTGTAGATAAAATGACTTATAATAATCAATTGAAAGTTACATTAATTATATAATAAAAAATAATAGTTATTAAATTAATTATATAAAATGCACATTTAATTTAGTAATTTCGCTGCACATTTAGTTCATGCAAAATGCACATTTAGTTCAAACGTACGTAGTGCATATTTAGTTCATGAACAATGTATACTTAGTTGATATCATTGTTGCACATTTTGTTCAAATGTTTATTTCAACTATATATTACGAATGAATATTTTCTTCATAATGCATACTACGGTCAATGGTCAATGTCGAAATCAACGTTCACCGTGAAGTTATCAAATAAATATTGAAATATATAAAATAAAAGATTAAATATTGACCACACATCTTGTCCCATGTTTAATGATTGTGATTAGATATCACATTCCCATTTGGAACGAGAAAATCATTAAAATCACTTAGAGGGGTGGAATCAATTGGGATTTCTAAAGACTTTTTAAAACTTTAGAAATCCTGGTGTATTCAATTTAGATTTGTTAAGATTTTCTAAAACTTGTAAAGTTTTAGGGTACTCAATTGACATTTTAAAATGTCTTACAAAATCGTAAGGTATTAACTTATTTAAGACTAGGATTAGTTAAAACTTTTTAAGATCTGATGGGATTTCTAAACAAAAAACCTTACATAAAAATTTCACTTCAAATTCTACCTCCAGACTTAAGATTTCACATAATTTTTCCAAAATCTGAAAATCTTAAAACTCCTCAAATCTTTGCATTCAATTGGGATTTCAAGTGACATTTTGAGACTTTTTAATATTTGAAATTTTGTAAGATTTTCATATTTTTGAGAAATACTGCGAAATCTTAAGTTTGGAGATAGGATTTGAAGTGTGATTTCGTATAAGGTTTTTTCTTTAGAAATCCCACCAAATCTAAAAAAGTATTAACAAATCAGTCTTTATTTATTTATTTTTTCTAGAACGATAGGATTTTATAAATAGAAACCACAATTACAACTAGAAAACCATCAGACGCTGAATCTACAGAGATGACATCCCCAGAGAAAGCCTAGACTACCACAAACTCACCCACAATAGTAATCATACTCCCACCAGAAGAATAACAAACTCCCAAAAGGAGAATACGAACACCAAAAAAATACAGAAAATCACGTAGCACACACGAAGCTAACACATACAAAAAAAAAAAAATAAACACATACAAGAAACACAACATAATACATAGAATACGACCCTCCCACCCGCTAGAAGCTCGGCCCAGGACACAGATCTAGAAAATCCCTTCTGACGACGGCTAACTATATCTGGCCCAACAAGACCAACACGCCCACACAGTCCAAACAAACCAACCCCAGGAGGCCCGCCCCAAAACAAATCATAGTATTAAATAAATTAAATACCTCATGATTTTGGAAGACTTTTTAAAAAATATCAATTGAATAATTCAAAACTTTTAAAAATCTTAACAAATTTAAATTGAATACACTCGATTTCTAAAATTTAAAAAAAAAAATTAAAAATCTCAATTGAATACATCATTTAAAAAATCTCAAAATGTCACTTAAAATCTCAATTGAACAGTCGAGATTGACACCTTAAACAAAACTGAGAAAGTACGTTACACATGGTAGTATTTTGTTGATTCTATCACAAGTTTGAATTAATACAGTTTAGCAACTCTATGATACACTACTGCCGCTAAACTAGTTGTTACCCGTACATTTGCACGAAAAATTGTATGATAAAAATAAAATAATAAAAAATATAAACAATAGTAAAAATTATAACATAATCATTGAAAAAAAAAAGTTTTAAAAAAGAAAATTCAAATATAATTAAACACTTCTTTATATACAATGTCCATAATTTTTCGAAGCCCAATCTGATTTCTTGATGTATCCCAATAAAAAAATTTAGTAAGAGAATATTTTAAATAAGCCACAACCATTATTTTTCTTATAACTTAAGCTCAAACATTCACATCCCATGTTTATTAACAAAGCCCAGACAAAATCAAACAAAATAAATTCTTTTTCGGGCCACAAATGGGTCAAATAAAGTTGATTTCGTTTGAATCCAAGTAGTATCAAGGCTTATGTTTTTTTTTTTTTAGTGGGCCAAATTAAACATAATCCAAATGCATGGACCCATATAGCACGGTCAAAGCTTCATCCACCACACAAATGTAGAACATTCAACAAAGTGGTAGAGACGGGTATTTAATGCCTAAAACCCTACCACCTGCAACATTTTCGTCGTTTTTTCTTCATTTTTAATCTTTTTTTTTATTTATCGGAGACAAATACTTGGATCGATTCTGATTTTGTTTAGCCGTTGTAGACATGCTTTTAATTTATACATGCCTTACATCATGAAAAACAAATTTCAGTCCAGTAGTTACTTCTTTGTTTGTCGAAAATTTCTTTGACTAAAATCGAATCAATCGCAATATTGTAGTTTTTTTCTTGTTCTTAGCCAAGAAAATCATATTATCAAATTGCACTGCCATTTGGAACTCAAAAGAAATATGTTGTGTCGAAATAATTTTTTCGGTGACTGATTATGAGTGTGGAATGCAAAGTGAAAATGTGTCTGATTTTTATTTTATTTATCAGCACCTACATAAGTCTATTAACTAATTAGTGTAAATACCAACAAATCAAGAGCATGATTAGTTGAAAATATTTTGATAGCTGGAAAAAATATGAACTATATAATAGTGGCGCATTTGATATGATTTTTGAAACTAGAATTTATGTTCCACCAACTAAAGATTTTATTTTTAGAGTCAAAATTTATGTTGTTGTTTGTATTTATTAATTAGACATGTGATTCTATCATATAAAAATTATTATGTTTTCTTAAGTTATTTTTATCATTCAAAATCAATTGAGATTTAAATTGTATTTTAACCATGCAACGTATATATTAGTAACATGAATAAAATAATTTATATATTTGTAGCATATATTAAGAAAATTAACATAAATAAAAAAAAATTATTGGTGTTTCTGATTTTTAGAAAAAAAAAAAATATATGTGCCAATCATGCACAGATGTACATATAATATTATAAGTAATATTTGAGAATTTAATATTAAAATTTTAGATAATGGACATATTACATTTTCAAAAATTTGATCATTAGAAAAAAAAATAACGATTTTATTATTATGAAAAATTGTATATTACCATTAGATACTAACTGTTTAATTATTATTATTATTATTATTATTATTATTATTATTATTATTATTATTATTATTATTATTACTATTATTAAAAAAATTGTTTATAAGATTTTAAAGTTGTCTGACTATGCTATTAAAATAATTTACTAATTGTTTTTAAGAAAATTTTTCCATGAGATACAAAAGAAAAAGATAATATTGATGTTAAAATAAATAACTTAAAACAATTGTTCTTAATTATGTAATTTATATTTATTGTGAATTATTATTAGTTGGTATTAGCAATAACTATTATATAATATAATAGAAAAATACATGATTATACTCATTATGATGTATTAATGTGAGAAATAAAAAATATTAATGATAATTTTTGTAACCGAAAATGGAGGGAAAATGTTAGAGGTTTTATTAAATATGTAAAATTAAATGCTATATGCTAGCTATTATATATATATAGATTTCACATTCAATTCATCAAAAAATCTTATCCGCCAATTAAATGCTATTATTATTCACAGTTTATCTTAAAATTACATAAATTCGTTGGCTTTGACTTCTGGTTAGTGGTTACAAAAGTTTTGCAATTTTAAGTACATTCATCAAAATTTTGAACTTATGGCTATTGGCGTTTTACGTAGATTAATCCAACACTTTTTTTTTTTTTGTTTTTTCCCTCGAAAAAAAATAAAATATATTAAGGCGTATATTCTTTGACATTGTCCGAAAAATGACTTATAGTTTATCCTAAAACTTTGTCAACTTCAATTAAAATGAAATAATACTAAATAATTAAATTTAAAACGAAGCATTATATATATAACTACCTTCATTTGTAATTGCCATCCAAATATCTTCATCAAAAAAAAAAAAAAAAAAGTGAAATTATAAATTTTATATCTCAGGAAAAAATACCAAACAAAACGAATCTGATTAAATGAGCGGAAGCTCCGGCAGCTCCGGCGGAGGAGACGGCGGGAATCCGCCGCCGTCGCCGTCGCCGTCGCCGTCGTCGGAGAGGGATAAGAAGAGGGAGCGGGCGCGGGTGAGCCGGACGTCACTAATCCTTTGGCACGCCCACCAAAACGACGCCGCGGCGGTCCGGAAGCTCCTCCAGGAGGACGGGTCGCTCGTCCGCGCGAGGGACTACGACCACCGGACTCCGCTCCACGTGGCGGCGATTCACGGCTGGGTCGACGTCGCCGCGTGTCTCCTCCAGCACGAAGCCGACGTCAACGCCCAGGATCGATGGAGGAACACCGTAAGTTTTGTCTTATTTATTTCGTGATCCGTCTTTGTGATTCCGGTTTCGTAATGTCTTCTTATGTTGTAAATTTTGTCTGATTTGAGGTTGATGGTGGGTCTACTTTGTCTCGGAATTAGGTCAATTGTTGTGATTTTGGTTTGGCATAATCATGTGTACGTTTTCTTTTATCCATTTGAAGTATGATTTCGCGGCTTCCAGATTCTCCATGCATGACTAATCCTATATAAATTGATATATAGTGTAGTTTGGGACAAGATTTTGGCCTTTCTTACTATTTGTTAATATTCCAGCCTTTAGCTGATGCTGAAGGAGCAAAAAGGTACAGGATGGTTGAATAACTGAAGACATTTGGTGGGCTGTCTTATGTAACTCTCTCTCTCTCTCTCTCTCTCTCTCTCACACACACACACATTTGAAGCTTAGTTCTAAACTTGGATTCTTTATAATTATGCAGGGCCAAAATGGGAGTCATTTTGAACCAAGACCAGTTCCACCACCTCTACCGAACAAGTGCGACTGGGAGATTGACCCTCACGAGCTCGACTTCTCGAGTTCAACGCTGATTGGAAAGGTCTGGCTCCATTTGTACAATACTGTCTAAATACCAATCCAACTTATTCCATGTTAAAATCGATTGCCTTTCATGATAACATTTTTTTTTTGGAAGAGTATTTTACGTTTTTTGTGGGGAATATTAAATGAAGAAGCTGTAGTTGTTGATAGTTAAGGTTGATAATGTCAGGGTTCTTTTGGAGAGATACTCAAAGCTTGTTGGCGGGGCACACCCGTTGCCATCAAACGCATCCTCCCAAACCTTTCAGATGATAAATTGGTGATGTATGTATTCTCCACATTGTGGTTTAAAATATTCTCATACATAAATTCTTTCCCATAACTTGAAACTTGTGATTTGACGCTATAGCACACTCACATTAACTTTTTGGTTTACTCCTCTCGTAATTCAGTCAAGACTTCAGGCACGAGGTCAACTTGCTAGTGAAGCTTCGTCATCCGAATATCGTCCAATTCTTGGGAGCTGTTACTGAAAAGAAGCCCCTGATGTTGATAACAGAGTACCTGAGAGGGGTGAGTGAAAATGTGTTCTTTATTTATCCTTTTTCTCGAAAGATAATAGTGTTTCTTTTGAAAATACATAATTTTTTTGGCTCCGGTTCATGTTCATTTACTTATTTGTAGGGAGACCTGCACCAGCATTTAAAGGAAAAGGGAGCACTCAGCCCTTCTGTTGCAATCAATTTTGCCCTGGATATTGCTAGGTATATTTAGATTTCTTTTATCACTTTACAATTTGTTTCATTTTTCTTTCTTTCTTT